GGCGGGAGTTGGGTTGAGATGGGGAAGCCCCGACGAGCAGAGGCCGGGTGCCGGGAGAAGGAAGAGGCCTCCGGCTGCCGGGTCCCGGTGACCAAGGGGAGACACTGCCTGGAGCGAGGGCGAGAAAACAGCGGCTGGTGAAGGCCCGCTTGGCCCCAAGCCACCTGGGGCAGGTGGACAGGGCAGCCCCGCCAGGCTCCGCAGAGGTTGCTGGGAGGGGCTCTCCAAGAGAAAGGCTTGCTGGGGGCCTGGAGAGCCAGGGGTCTCTTCCGTCCTCATCCTCCCTCCTTTCTCTGAGGAGACAATAGCCACAAGGCATTGTACTATAGTGACACCTGCCCCGGCACGGTGTCACTGTATTGGGCCAGCGTGATGGGACACTTAGATCCTGCGGGAACCTTTCCCACATCTAGGTGTGAAGTTTGAGAGGACTTCCGGTGCCCTTCAGTTATTTCTTTTTTGGGTGGCGCTAATGCTCAAACCCAGGGCTTCAAGGATGCTAAACACATGATCCACCACTGAAGTACACCCCAGCGCAGTGCCGTTTATTTGGATATCACCGTGACCTTTCCAGCGTAGCAACAGCAGTGGCAATAAGAATCAGATGACAGCTAAAGCGGGGCACATTGACTCGTTTTGTCTTCAAGAGAACCCTAAGAGATAAATAGTTTAGTTTGCTGTATTTTGTTTTGATTTGCTTATTCTTGTTGTTTTGAGACAGAGTCTCACTAGGTAGTCCAGGCTGGCCTTGAATTCAGTGTGTAGCCCAAGCTGGTCTTGAACTTACAGGGATCCTCCTGCCACAGCCTCCCAAGTGCTGGGATTATAGATATGTGCCGCCATGCCCGGCTTGTTAGCGCTGTTTTACAGAAGAGGAAACTGAGGCACAGAAAAATGTCATCACTTTTTCGAGTCTTTATGAGGTGCAACTAAAAAAAAAAAAAAAAAATACGGTGAATGCTGCTGCTGAGTGCCATCCATAGGAAAGGCAGGTTGTAAAAACTTGACACTGTGTCCATATTCATCTCATTGAGGCCTCTTGGGCTCCCCCAAAGGCAAGTAACCATGAAAGATCAAGGTTTCAAATCCTTTCAGGACATTCAGGCTGCCAGGTTACCTCAACTAAAGACACCACACCCACCCATACTTTTAATTTAAACATTCGTCGCATTTTTTCATCATGCCTCGTAAGTTGCCATTTGTTCAGTAATACACGTGTGCCAGGCACTTGGCTGCTTTGCCCCCTCATCTTTGATGGCTCTTCTGCCCATTTTACAGGTGAGGCCCAGAGAGATCAGGTAACTGCAAGTCACACAGCAAGCAGGCAGCAGTGCCATGAGCGCTTATTGTTTCCTTTCGGGACCTGAAATACTTTTACTCCAAGCTTTTCTTGGCTTGAATGTTTGTGTTGAAAGTCTGCCTTGATTCTGATGGGGTTCCCTTTATAGGTGGTCTGTTTCTTTATTCTTCTTTCTTTCTTCCTTTTTTTTTTGTCTTTCTGAGACAGTCTTGCTATACAGTTCAGGCTGGCCTTGAGCTCACTTTGTAGCCCAGGCTGGTCTCAAACTTACAACGATCCTCCTGCCTCAGCCTCCTGAGTGCTGCGATTACAGGCATGCAGCAGCACGCCCTGCTGTTTCTTTTTTCTAACAGCTTTTATTTATTTATTTATTTGGTGCTGGGACTTGAACTCAGGACCTTACACTTGCCAGGCAGGCACTTGTGCCACTGAGCTAGATCCCCAGCCCCTCCTCACAGCTTTTAATATTCTGTTCTTTTGCTGAATTTCTGGGATCTTGATTATTCCATGTCTGGGTGTAGATTTATTTTGGTTATGGTCTGGAGCTCAGTGTGGCTCCTGGGATGGCCCAGCACATCTTGCCCAGATAGTTTGTTTCCATTCATTCAAACGCTTGAATCTTTTTCTTTCTTCCAAAATGTTTGTTTTCATTATTGAGGAATAAAACTTTATTAGGAAAGCACAGCAGCTGCACTCCTCAGTCTATACCCATAGAAGTGGGGCTGGTACTTGGCACCAGGGTTGGGCAGACTAGTGCCACACACAGTGGCACGTGGGAACCTTAAAGGAGTTTTGAGTGTAAAAGTCAGACACGTAAGTAAACATTGATTCCATTGACTGAAATGTAAAAACCAGTGGGACAGACAGATGGCGTTAGAACTCGAGAGAGTAGCTTTTCGGGGTATGGGGCTGGTTGGCAGGGTTTTCTGGGGGGTGTGAGAGTGTGTTCACTTTGTGAGGATTAGTTGAGCTGTGTGTATACTTAGGATTTGTGCACCTTTGTGTTTAAAAAAATAAAAATAAAAACCAGCGAACACCTGTGACCTCAGCCCTGGGGAGGCTGAGGCAGGAGGAGGATCACCTGAGTTTGAGCCCAGCTGGGCTACAAAGTGAGCTCAAGGCCAGCCTGAACTGCAGAGGAAGATTCTGTCTCAAACAAACAAACAAGAAAAACCCATCACTGAGACAGTGGAAGCCCTCTCCACCCTCTGAGTACCACCTGGGTATCTTTAAATGCTAAGCAAGGGCTGTGAGGTGTGGCTCAGGGGTAGAGCTCCTACTTACAAGCCTGAGGCCCTGGGTCCCATGGCCAGCCCAGCAAGGAAAAAAAAAAACTATCCTTTTGCTCCTTGTGTTTTACTCAACTTCCTGTTGCCAGATGCGCTATATCTCCAGGTCATTTAAGAGGCTGCCGCCATAGTCCACCCTCTCCACACCTGTTTCCTACTCTGCCTCCTGAAGATGGAGGCTTCGATGGTAGGTGCACTGGTAGCCACTGTGGTCTCTGCAGTGGGCTTCCTTTTGTGAACTCCCTTTGCCTCCTGCCCCAGCTAATTTCCCCCCTCCTGCCCACATGTGAGTGCCTCCTCCTTGAACCTTCTCCCCTCTCCCTCTACCCTGCTCCCCAGCCTTCCTGACTCAGAGACCCAGGGTCTGTGCCGAGAGGAGGAGGTGAGGAGTAGGAGGGGCAGTGATGGCTTCAACAAAGAAATATTTCAGGAAGGGCTGATATCTTAATGAACTGCCAGCAGCCTTGAAGGCAGCTTTCTGCTCACTCCTTTTTAGGGGGGCTCCCACCCTGGGGCACTTACCAGTTTACCATATTCCCTTGAGTAGAGAACCCTGGTCTGGTGGGGTGTATCCTTGGGGCTGCGAGGAGAGAGGCCCGCAGGACCAGACAGGTTGTGTTGCCCTTCCTGGTGCCAGGCTGGCTGGGAGCCCAGGCCCTGGGAGATGTTTGCAGTCACTTTTAGGGACTCAGAGACTGGCTTTGTATGCAGTGCTGGGCATGGAGGCTGCGGGCTGGTGGGTAGAAAATCAGTCATTAAGGACCAGGAAATGAACAGGAACTTGACAGGCAGTGAGCAGTTTTCCCTTAATTAGAACACAGCATCTTGGGGTCGAGTGAAATCTCTCAAGAAGGGGACACGGAAGACACAGCTAGGGCAGGGCTAGGGCGGCAGACCCAGCACCATACCCTCGCTATATCCTTCGACGCAGAAAGGCCAAACAGCAGGGACAGAAAAAAGAACCCCTTCCCCTTTTAGTTGTTGTTCCCCTCCTCTTCCTTCTCCTCCTCTTCTTCCTCTTCCTCCTCCTCCTCTTCTTTCTTCTCCTCTTTCCTTTTTTTTTTTTTAAAGACAGGGATCTCACTCTCTCTCCCAGGCTGGCCTTGAACTCCACAGCTCAAATGATCTCAGCCTCCTGAGTAGCTGGGCCTATAAATGCACACAGCAGGTAAGGCTTAGTTCTGCCTCCTTTGGTGAGCTACCCCGTATCTCCCTCCCTTGTGAAGACTCTGGATTTAAATCCCAGTCCTGGCATTTCTAGCCTGAAATCTTGCAGCAAGGGGCTTGACCTCAGTTTCTTCATCTCAGTAAGGGTCGGGCAGACAGCTGGGGGGGGCGGGTCCTGGCTTTTTCAGGGTTCTTAGTACAGGCACTGGATACACTGTAGGCAATGGATACGTTATAGAGACTAGATACACCCTATGTACTGGATATACCATAGGCACTGGGTACACTGTGTATACTGGACGCGTTGTAGGTCCTGGTTACACTATAGACATTGGATACATTGTAGGTGATGCATATACTGTAGGCACTGGATACCTTGTAGGCATCAGATACTAGTCCCTGGCATTGTTTCCTGTGGCCTTGGCAGTTCATACCTCCCCTACTCAGTGTCTTATTGTTACAGTGTGTCATTGTCCAACTTATTTCAGAAGCACCTAGTAACTTTAAACACATAGTATCAATTGTTTGGTTATTTCTGCCTTCTTTCCCTGATGAAATCATCAAGTCCTTGGCTCCGGGCGTGGCAGAGCTCGCTGGCCTGTAATCCCAGCAAATCGCGGCACTTGGGAGGCTGAGGCAGGAGGATAGTTGTGAGTTCGAGACCAGCCTGGGCTATAAAGTGAGCTCAAGGCCAGCCTGAACTGCATAGCGAGACCCTGTCTCAAAAAGACCAAAATAAATAAATAAATAAATAAATAAATAAATAAATAAATTTTTAAAAAAGAAATCATCAAGTCCTTCAGTTAGGGGCCCTGGATTCTAGTTTTGCTGTTATTTCCCCTTGCATCCAGCTTGCTCTCTTTCACATAGTAGGTGCACAGGGGCTGGGGATTTAGCTCAGCGGCAAAAGCGCCTGCCTGGCAAGTGCAAGGTCGTGAGTTCGGTTCCCGGTACCGGGGAAAAACCAAAAAAAAAAAAAAAAAACATAGTAGGTGCACAATAAATGCATGTCAATCTCATTTGATTTTTTTTTTTTTTTTTTGTGTGTGTGTTTTGTCTTTTTGAGACAGGGTCTCGCTATGCAGTCCAGGCTGACTCTGAGCTCACTTTGTAGCCCAGGCTGGCCTGGAACTCACAACGATCCCCCTGCCTCAGCCTCCTGAGTGCGGGGATTACAGGCATGCGCCACCACGCCCGGCCAATCTCATTTGATTTGAATGTAATTTGATGTTGAGTGTAGTCAAATAAAAATCACTTGACAGCTTAGCACAAGTTGGGGCCGTGCAGGTGTGAGCTGGGGTCATAAAATGTCCCTAAAAAATGAATCTTTATAGACTGGAGGAAGGGAGGGGTGGGATCTGGGTAGAAAATGTGACAGAACTTCACCAGTGCTCTCTGAGTCACCCCTGCCCCACTAATGGTGCCCCGCGCCATCTTCTCCCCACTCCTGGCGCCTTTCCCTGGAACTTCACCCAGCCAAGGCAGCAGTCCTTCCCCTGGAACCTGGGGCTTGGGTCCCCGGGGCTTGGGTCCCCAGCCACTGACACGAGGGATGAAGCGGGGTATGAAGGAGGAAGGCCCAGGCCGAGGTAGACTCACCCTGGGAATAGCTACCAACCACCAATGCTTGGCTGTTCATCAAAATATTCTCGATCTATCTCTGCCGCCCTTGGGAGGGGCGTGAGGGGGGAATAGAAGCCAGGCAAGGTGGCACATCCCTGTAATCTCAGGACTGTGGGAAGCAGAGGCAGGAGGATCACAAGTTCAAGCTCAGTCTGGGCAACTTAGAGACTTAGTAAGACTCTGTCCCCCAAAATAAAAATGGCTATGGATGGAGCTCAGTGCAAAGGCCCTGGGTTCACCCTCCAAAAACCCCCCAAAACTCCACTCTTCCCTGAGCTAGGGAGTCGTTCTTGTCACTTGAAGGCTGCAGCAGAAGACGGCTGTGCCGGGAGTACCACAGGCCCTCCGGGGGAGCTGAGCTGAGAGAAGGCTTTTATCCCACACTGGGGTGGAACTGGGCCTCGTGCATGCCAGGCAAGCGCTCTGTCCTGAGCCGCACCCCAGCCCCGAGTGGGAGAATTTATATGCAGTTGCACCATTACAGGTGTCGGGCTCCCCAGAAGGTGCCCAGAGGGACCTCAGGGAGGAAGGGCAGGCACTGGCCATCAGAAGGCTGGGGTGGGGGGTCGGGAGAGGCACAGCGGCAGCACCCTCTGGAGCTGGGAGCAGGAACAGGTTCTGCGTGCAGGGTGGGCACAGGTGGCTCTCCTTGGCCTTCAGGGCCGGCTCTGGGGCCTTGCTGCTGCCCAGCAGCTGGAGGTCACGTGTAGAGGAGACTGCCGAGGAGAGGACCTGGGCATCGTGAGCAAAGCCAGAAAGCAGGGGCTGCAGGGAATCAGGGTCTTGGGGCCCAGGCTGGCAGAGGTCATGGTGTGGGCTGGCGTGCGGGAGCCACGGGAACCACGAGCCCCCTGCTCGGGCCCCGCCAGATGCCGCACACAGTAGGGATGCCTGGGGGCTTTCTCGGGTGGGCTCTGTTCTCGAATCCTTCGGACTCATATTCGCCCCTTCACCCAGGGAGTTGTTCTGCCAAACCCCTGGACGAGGAGGATTTACTCACCCCACTCCCAGCCATCAGTGAGGCCAAGGCTGCCCTTGTTCGGACTGGCTCCGTGCAGTGTGGCCATGTGTCTGTCATGGCGCTGTGCTGGGACATGGCCACGCCCCTTAGTTCATGTGGCCTTGGTGGCTGCTGTGTGCTGTGGTGGCTACTGGCAGCAGAGGCGGAGACCAGCACACATTTTCTGTACAGGACACGGGAAAGTTGTGTTTTTTTTTTTTTTTTCTTGTCTTTCTGAGACAGGGTCTCGCTATGCAGTTCGGGCTGGACTTGAGCTCACTTTGTAGCCCAGGCTGGTCTCAAACTCCCAATGATCCTCCTGTCTCAGCCTCTTGAGTGCTGGGATTACTGGTGTGTGCCACCACATCCGGCTCTACAGGGGAAAGTCTTTAGACTTCGAAGGCCAAGAGGCAAAATCGAGGATGCTATGTAGGGTTGTATAAACACAAGAGGAAACAAATGTCCACCATGTTTTTATGGATGAAGTTACAGTAATAATTGAGTCTGATGTTTAGCAACACAGGTCTATTAATAGGAAGAATAGAACTCTGGGGAAGGGATAGCATTTTGCTTAATTGAGGTTCATGCTTCCTATCATCAAATTGATGGCAAATGTTCATCTTTTTTATTTTTTTCCTCAACCAAATCCTTTATTCTTTTTTTAATTTTAAGGGGAATAATTGAAAAAGAACAATAGCAAAATACCAACAACATAGACAAAAACAAAACAAAGCAAAAACAATAAAAATGTTACAGGGTTTCAGAATAAAATGATAGGAATTAACAGTGGTTGTTATATTACATATTGTTATCTTCAACGAAGTTGCCCAGATTACCAGATGTAAGAATGCAAGACCGATCAAACCATTAAAGAGAATTAAAAAAAAAACAAAAAACAAAAAAAAACGATTAGATGCCGGGCATGGTGGCGCATGCCTGTAATCCCAGCACTCGGGAGGCTGAGGCAGGACGATTGTTGTGAGTTCAAGACCAGCCTGGGCTACAAAGTGAGTCCACTGCCAGCCTGAACTTCATGGCAATACCGTGTCTCAAAAAGACAAAAAATAAATAAATAAAAGGGCCTGGGCTGTAGCTCAGCGCAAAGGCCCTGGGTTCAATCCCCAGTACTGGAAAAGTAAACACATAAATAAAGACTCACACAGCCAGCGATATGGCTCAGCTGCACAAGCACCTGCCTGGCAAGCACAAGGTCCTGAGTTCGATTCCCGTTATGAAAAAAAAAAGCTGGGCATGGTGGCGCACGCCTGTAATCCCAGCACATGGGAGGCTGAGACAGGTGGATCACTGCAAGTTCGAGACCAGCCTGGGCTACAAAGTGAGCTCAAGGCCAGCCTGAACTGCATAGCAAGACCCTGTCTGAAAACAAACAAAACAAAACAAAACAAAAAAACCATAGAAACGATACAGTGTTTCACTAGACAATATGGTAGGAATTCATCCGTGGTTGTTATATTGCATCAATTGTTGTCTTCAAATTAGTTGTTCAGTGTTCATCTTTTTTTATTTTTATTTTTTTAGTACATGTTTGCAGTATATAATAATTACATTCATTGTGGGGAGTTGGTACATGCATATAACACATCTCAATTCTTTTTTGTGTGTGTTTGTTTTGTTTGTTTGTTTTTTTCCAGTACCGGGAATTGAACTCATGACCTTGCGCTTGCCAGGCAGGTGCTGTGCCACTGAGCTAAATCCCCAGCCCCTTCAATTCTTTTTTTATGTCCCCTTCCCCTAGCAGATGCTCATCTGTTATAACTATTCTTAGCCGGGTTTGGTGGCACGTGCCCATAATATCAACACTTGGGAGGCTGAGGCAGGAGGATCATCATGAGTTAGAGCCCACTCTGGGTGACATAGTAAGTTCAAAGCCAGCCTGAATTAAAGAGTGAGACCCTGTTTCAAAAATCAAATCAAATCAAATCAAATCATTCTTGGTGAGATGTGCTAAGTGGCATGCACGCCTGTAATCCTAGCACTCTGGAGGGTGAGACAGGAGGATTGCCACGAGTTTGAGGCCAGGCTGAACTACACACTGAGATCCTGTCTGGCTTCCTCGGGGTCTCTGAGGAGCACTTTTGTCCAGGCTGGGAACAGACTGGGGACAGCCCTGCCCCAGGGCTGACCTGGGCTCTGGCAGTGCTGTCCAAGATCAGGAATGGCTCTTACAGAGACAGCCAGACATGAAGGATACCCATGGGTGCCCTCCCAGGACGATGGCACACGGATACAGAGCACGTGTGTACTGGCACATACAGACACACACAGCTGCACCTTCCCTACCTCACAGACGTATTTACATACTCCCGTGGTCATCTCACTTTTTTTTTTTTTTTTTTAAATCTATGTAGCATCAGCAG